GCAAAATGACATAAGCATAATGTTATGCAAGTACGGTTTGTTCATCCATCTCCGTTAAAGTGCAACACACAGCCATTTACTGACTGTTTCTGTGATGTACATCCATCCGAACTACAAAGCTAACAAAAATGGGACAACATTTCAGTGAGGAATTATAAATAAGAGGAGTCCTTGGCAGTGCAAGCTGGCACTCATCAAACGCACAGTAACAATGTGTGCTGTGGTTAACTGACTGGAGAAGCTTAAACTTGTTGGTTAACTAGGCTATAGCCGTGTCTCAGGAGCAAAACATGCCTATAAGAGTACCGCTTCAACAGAAATACAAGTGTGCTGCCTGCCTCCTTATTCCAACTAATCCATGTGGCAGCCTGAATAGTCAAATACTTGCACTAAAGAGCCGACTTATAGTCGACTGACAAAATCTTAGTGAGGTACAGCCCTACTGATTTCACAGCATACCACACCCTGTTTTAGGGTGTTTGCATATCCTAGTAGAAAAAGAGTTTTCACCATTCAATAAAGCATTGTCCATATTGATTCCAGCTTGAAAATTCTCACAGTAAAAATGTGGCTTGTTGGCACTCTGTTTTTCCAGTGAGAATCATCCAAGCCACACAGACCAAACTATATTTTAAAAGAGCTACAATTGTTTGATTTCTTGGGCTTATATTCTATTCTTATTGCCATTAAAATGATCTAAGAAACTTTCTTAATTAAGCTTCTTACAGTATAAAAAAGCTTTACTGACACAAACACTGCATGGCTGTGTAAATGTGCATGGTGGACCACTTTCTGTCATTACACTGAAGGCCCTGGCAGTAGTTTACCCAGCTGTGGTCATATTGTGACAGCACATCCTGTTTTGTGTTTTGCTGTTATGAATGGCACAGCTTGTGATAGCCTTCTATCAGTGTCAGCCCGTGGATGCCTGCTGTGTGGATGAACTTTTCTTTATTTCCATGAACTGTGTCTGTCTTTCCACTGAGGTCTGTTTCCTGGCCGGGGCTTCTCTATGTTGACTCTGGCATAAACAAGATGTACAAATGACGAATACACATAGGTTCACACTTACCTCACCTTACTTCAGGAAAAAAGGGGTGTTGCCTATCACCACATTCCCTGTTATGCCTAATGTATTTATATAGCAACTCTGTTAGTACAGAGTTTAACAGCAGTGCTGAATCAACCACTTTGTCTCATCTTACTGTTAGGTATTAATGCCCAGGCTCGAAAGCTGCAGAAGAGCCGCTCCAGAGTGACCTCCACCCTCATAGAGAGGACTATGGCTCGAAGCCACAAATTGTGGTGGCGTAAAAGTGAGATGGACCTCTTAGATGCTGATACTGAGACCAAACATGGAACAGATACTGATGAATGTGTTAAGGATCAAAACGGCAGCCTGAATCAAATCTCACTGCAGAGCCCCAAGAGCTCAAAAACAACCCTAGAACAAAATCACATTCACTGCCTTGCAAGTCCCTCTGAGGGGCATGGAGGGTTGCAGGCCAAAACAGAGACCCTCTGTCTGCTGAGGCCAAGTGGCGAGCGAGAAGGAGAGGAGTCAGAGAGGGAGGAAAGGGAGAAGGAGGAGACAGAGAGCAGTGATGATAATACCACACAGTATTCCATTCACCCTCCTCATGATTGTCCATACCTGCTACTGCTGCAGGGCTGCATCCCCACACAGGTACAGTATCTCATACAAACACACACACACCACAACTGTTTACTAAACCTGTCCCCCAATCATAGCTAAATAACCACAACAAGGCACATTAGGCACATCCTAAACGGGTGTGCATGGAGGTGTGGTTAGAGCAATAACTATTTATGAAGAGTTTGGAAGGTGGTGTATATTTTTAGCCTCTCCAAAATCAAAAACACAACAACAAATTTGTAATGACTCTATTGAAATGTATTTATCTGCTCTAAGATAAGGCACAATCATTAGCATGGTCAGCTAATAAACTTATTAATTATGATAATATCTGGGCATTATTTCCAAGCCAGGGAGCAGCTCATTAACTTATTACATATCAGGTTGTATGGTTACAGGTTACAAACAAACAAAGGAAAAACAGCTCCTTTCATGACAAGCACATCCACTGTTTCCCCACTGTGTTTAGGCTAGTTAGCAACTGTGTCCTGCACTTTCGGAGATTTGAGAAATGAATACTCCAGCAATTAGTGCCACTGTTATTAAAAATATGAAAATGTTTGGAAGCTAATCAAACAGGTATATGTTAGAACAAAATATGAATATACATTTTTCCTTGCCATCAGTAACGTGACAGTGCTGGGTTTTTGCCTAGGACATGCGTTCAATTCAGTCTTTTAGCTAAATAGGTTATCATGTAGACATTAGCTGTATATTTAAATAGTTTTCATTTTAAGTTAGCTGATTGCATTACATAGTCAGTCAGGGTCTTGTTAGCTAGTTCATGGTGTAATGTTAGCTTAATTAGCAGCTACAGCTTTCACTGACTAGAAATGGAATTGTGCATTGTATTACATTCACACAAGTTAATGTCGTATGTGCATTTTTCCTTTTGCTCACTGTTTAATATCAAAGAACTGCAGTTCTAGTGTAAAAAGAGTGAAATGAGAGGTGAATCTTCATGCCAAAGGTCAGAAAACTGTACAGTACATAGAAAAACTGTCAAAACAGTGATCATGAAACAGAAGACAACCCCAACACTACTAATTTTCACATACCGGTACTGTGATTTTGTCACAGTTGTTTTTCCAAATGTAAGAATATAATCATCTACCATGAGAAAACATCGGTACTATTATTAACAATTATTATACATTTTTTGTGAATTAATTTACCTGGTTAAATCTATCCCATTAGAAAAGACAGGCATTACAAAGGGAAGGTCAAACATAATAATAATTCCTGCACATTGTGCATGCCACTCACTGTGATTAATAAAACGCTGTTCATCTAATCAGGCTCGGCTGAAGAGTATAATACTAATACCACCACATGATTAGACTGTTCAGCTTTCACTGAGAGGGACTGTTGTTATGTAGCTGGTGGTGGATGTACAAAATTTCAGTCAGATATTAGATTTGTAATGTCCTGCTCATCAGTAATACTGAAAAATATTAATATATAATGGTCTGTTTTACTGTCCAAATTACAAAGGCACACAGAAAGTAATATACCAACAACTCTGATAAACCAACTCTGATAAACTGAAGCACTGAAATCCTTTAGTCAAGTAAAAGTATCAATACTATAATGGAAAACTATTCCTTTACAAGTAAAATCCTACAATTAATGTTTTTACTAAATGTACCACAGTATCTTCACCAAAATATATGTAATTAAAAGAAAAAGCATGCACTAAGCATACTGTATACTCTATCATCTGGTTATTATTACAGATATAGTTAAGTGCAAGGAATATTTTATCATTGTAGCTGGTCTAGGTGTAGCTTATTTTAACTACTTCATATACAGCCAGTAAAATAATCAGTCTGCAAAGTATTGTAACTACTAACTAAAACTGTCAAATAAATGTAGTGGAGGTATAAGTATAAAATCATCAAATATAACCTCAATTAAAATACAATTATCTCAAAACTGTATTAGCTACACTAATAAAAATGTTTGTGTGATCTACTGGGAAAATGACCCTACGTGAAAGGGGTCACCCATAGTGACAAAGCCAAAGAGAATTATTACCCAACTCTCCAGTCCCCTTATAGCCATGGAGCTTTTCATCAACTCACTCACTGACTGTATAAAACCACGACAATTCCCAGAACTGAAGCCACTTCAACATGATCACCTTGGTGGCTGGTTGCAGTATAAGTCATAAATCCTGCCTCCTCCATGTTAGCAAATGGGACATGAGCCAAACTAAAGACTCAAACTACAAATCAGATAAATTTTCCCAGAGTTCACTTTGGTAATTTTTGGTAGACACTGTCATGCTGATGTCTGTACAAGTGACCACTTTCCTTATACATTTGTTTTTAATTTGATCATAAAAAAAGACATCTATTTCAGATGACTTGACAGCTCTGACTGGTGGTCCGATGCTGTCACTCCACTTCTGGTAGCCCAGAATCTGGTTGCTAAAAAGAAAGATGGCAGCCGTCGTATTCATGATATTTTGGCTTTATTTTTGCATAGTGAAAGGAAGTGGTGACGCCATGTCCATCATCTATATGCCTAATACAAAATCAAAAGAATGCAGGATATCTACTCAAGTGTGTCAGACAGCATGGCAACTTGTAATTCTTCTTTGTACTCAGGACTTTGTCATCTACCTACTTGTGGGGCCAAGTATAATAATCGGTCAGCAAAGTGATCATGAAGATGAGTTAAAGCCAGACATCCTCCTCTTTGCTGCTGATATTCTTCCGAGACACTGCTATCTATATCGCCAGACTGCTGGAAGCCCCACCACGCTCCGCCCTTGTCAGAACGCCATGGTCACGAGGAACGGTGAGATGCTGAGAAGAGAAGTACAGCTTACCTCTGGTGATGTTATTGGACTTGGACAGTGCTACCTGTTCCTTTTCAAGGATCCCTTAGCTTTGACACACAAGGTGAGACACTGGCAAACAGAACACCTGTGATGAGTGCAGATGTTACAAAGAGTTGTATTTGCTTTATCAGATATCAGCTTTGTCTTGTGAAGAGAAAAATGTCTATTGTGAAAGAGTACATATTTTGTTCATGTTTCTTCTTCCTTCCTTGAAAATGAAGGAAGTGAACAGTATTGCACCTGAGCCCAACTTGTCTGCTGTGCCCTGGATGCTGGGTCACACCACGTCTGCCACTACAACACATCATAGCAGAGAAATGACCCTCTATAACACCTGCATCTCAACCTGCACTGACCTCCAGAGCCAGAGCAGCAAACAGCCCCTAAGCAGAAGCCCTCCTTTTCTAAAATCACCTGAAGGCCACAGCTTGACTCTCAACTATGAGATTGAAGATGAGGATCGCATTGTTGAGGAGATTGTTTCTATGGGAAGTAACAGCGCTGATGACAGACCGCCACTGACAATAGCATTTTTGCTTTGCATGTGTATCCAGTATTCATCCACAAGTCTTCATACCTCAGACCTGCGTAGACTCTTGCTGCTTATTGCCAGTGGAGTTCAAAGTGCCATGTGGGTAAGTTTTGGCAAAATTGTTAGCAGTTCTGACAGTATTGTAGAATATCTCTTCAGAATTTTTAACTTGCTATGATCAACATTTTTATTCATGGATCAGGCAACTATGTGGTGTGATAAGAGTTGCTCACAGTGACCATTCAACAAATAATTTTTATCTACTTTGCCATTCCCTTCAGATATACTAAGCATTTTAGTATTTCTCAGCTTATTGTTTTGTTTTTATACCTCAGAGGCTGAAAAATGAAGCCAGTGCAGAAGTGTTAAAACCTGCAGTTCCTCGAATGGCCACTTGAGGCTGGATCCAAAAGGGAGTCAATCCCCACAGACTCTCATGTTGAAATACCCAACTTTACAGGAGAAATAAACATGTTTACAGTCTGGTATAAAAAACGTTTTGTTAGTATCTAACTCTAATTTGTCTTTCTTTAACAACTGTAGTGGGGCGGGGGGATTTTTATATAACTTGCCTGTTTAAATGGAGGCTAAAAGTTATGCATAATTAAGGGTGTGGCCACTTTGAGTGACAAGTGGGAGGGTCCTGCTGCCAGTGGCTTGACCCTAGCTCTACTGATTAGTCTGAGCAAAGCACTAATAACATACAGTATGGCGGCCAAAAGCGGTCTTCAGAAAACCACTGGGTAACGCCATCCATCTTTCATATTAGGTCAGTGTTTTACACCAAACAAATTATTTTGGTTCAGTCTCATTAATGTTGTTTTCTGACAGAACAGGCAGCTGTTTTCATTGAAAATGTTGTGAAGAACTCACTGTCCTGCCCAGCAACAAATGATAGTCAAAGTTGACAACTTGCTGATGAGCACAGTACAGCATTTAGCCTCTAAAGAGCTAGCTGTCAGGTGTTGTGGAGACAAAAGAGAGGTGAAACTGAGTGAATACTGGACTTCAAGTACATGCTTATGAACACTCAGTGTTTGCTGGACGTGTCATTAGATGACAGTTTGCTGAAACAGTTTCCACAACAACTTGTTGGTAAGACAATGATACTATATGCTATTATGTTTACAGCTTCTTTTGCTGCTTCCAAGAGGCATGAGTCATGAAGCTTTAATGCCAGCATTTTGTCTTAATCTTGAGGCCATGTTTTGTGGAGGGGACATGTGTTCGCATTTAGTTTTAAAGTATTACTTCTTTATCATATTTAATCTAGCCACAGAGGCTGCAAGTGTTAGATCTGCTCGGACACAGAGGTGAGCGAGTCACAAAATGACGGACCCAGGTGGCTGACTTCAGTGCAAGCAGTGCTCAGCTTATTTACAGTGATATCAACAAGGAAGTGAATAACCAGGTAGAAGTGCGACCGGGTGTCGAGCCGCAGAAGTTAAATAACAGTCAGTGGTGGAATGATGAGGGAAAGGCCGGGCTGCGGACGCTGGGACTCACTCCTGGGCTGGTCGTGGTGGAAGGTTGCTGAGGAGACAGAGTTTGTACATGCAGTTAATAGGAGACTGTGCATCGACCTGCGTGGTGGA